GCGAAGAAATATGCCATGCAGGAGAAGAAGACTTAATCGCGCAAAAATAGAGAAACACTACAAGGCAATCTGAAAATGCCATAAAATTCATATTTCATCTCTGCTCTTCTCTTCTTCTTCCATTGCTTTTTACCTAATCATCCGATGATAAGTGGGTTCTCATGACTACCAGTAGATCATAAATATGAAATGTATTCACATGACTTGGTTAAGGTGATGAAGAAGTGAAAGTTGAATTTTCCAACAAGCATATAATCAAGTTTTACGTTTCCCTTTAAATTGCACTGCTTTGCTTTGGAAAATTTCTTCTCATCTTGGCTGGACTGCAGTTTTGACCTCGCATACAACTCATCAGTGCTCGCAGCGGGATTCGAACCATGATAATGTAGTGTATAACCTCGGTCAAATTAACGCTGGAGAGTGACAACATCTCATATTTATGGTCTACTGGTATTGTTTAAAAGATGTGTATCAACGAAAAAAAAGTAATTTGCCGATTGCTTTAGCAGACACAGCTTTGCTTCATCAACGTACTCATCACAGAATGTGATTTGAGTAAAGGCTTGGCCTTATTTGGTTTTAACATCTGCCCTGTCCCTCAAGAGCATTCGTGACAGTCTGGCGTACTGGTAGACCCTTCAAGATTTTAAATTGCATTTTTAGGGTTCGTGTTTCACTGAAGGTGCTGATTAGACCAATTCAGGCGAGGTTGGAACTGCAGTCCAGGCCAGTATGGGTCAGAATAGCCTTTGGGAAAACAAGGCTATGGAAATGCAAGGGAAACGATGTGGAAAAATCAAACTACCAGTCCTTAAACGAAATAGAGTGAATAAATATCTTATATCTAATAGTCTCCACTTTCTTCCTAATACATTTCACTGTTCTTTCTTTATTCTTCTCTTTTTCTTTTCTCTTTCTTAGTTCTTATCTGACATACTCTAATATGATAGTGTTCCGTATTTTTGTATCCTTTTTAATCTGATCTTTACTTCTCTTTCTTTGCATTCCATATATGTATATATGCATTTATTTGTAAATTTAATAAAGATTTTAGACTTGAATCTTGCAATTTTATGAACTGATGTGCATATTTTGGGCATTGCTGGCCCAAATGAGCTAGATTTTGTATTTTTTCCTTTGTAAGTGGGCTAAATTACTAGTAGATAATATATGAGGTGTATTCATACTATTTAATTTAAGGTGATAAGGAGACTGGTAGATGCATTTTTTAACAATAGGGTGAATCCATTTCATATATCTGATCTACTGGTTGTCTAAAAATGCATAATCTTGATTATATGGGCTCAACAGTTTATAGGATCGCAATATTCAAGTCCAAAAACTTTATTAAATTTCAAACTGAATGCATATATACGTATATGTGATGAAAAGTGACAAAAATTTCAAATCAGAACGTATGCGTAAAGATGAATTAAGATCACTTAAAAATTTGTCAGATAAGAGAAAAGTGAGGAATAACGAAAAAAATGTGTCATGGGATAAAAGGAAACAGGAAAAGCATGTATAAATGAGATGTATTC